TAATGCAGACAGAGATCATTTGTATTAAGGCCCAGTTAGCCTGCTGGAGAGACCTGTTTTTATAATCCAAGTAGGTTTACACAGTTTTAAATACCTAATGCCTTCATTTCTTTCACTAGTAGTGTCTTTTTTTTGGACATCTATTTTAAATGAGGTGAAGTTCTTACCTCAGAGAGACATTGCCCCAAGGCTATTATAACTATTTTTAAGCAGTTTTTCTTTTGAGGTTTAGAAAATCACAACTAAACTAACTATGAAGCCAAGTCGCTTTTCAATGGAAGGGTTAAATCATAATGACGAGAGGAGGATTTTATAACTGAGCTGATCCAATATGCTACCTCTGGATTTACTCTCCTCTTATTCATCTCTGACAGCATCTTTCCCTCATATTACAAATGACTGTTTCTTAGCCCCACCATGCTGCAAAACACTCATAGGCCAACGTTCCATCACTTCTTGTCAGGCTGACCAATCAACATGCACATCCACATACCTCACTATGCCAATCAGAGATTCAGACAAAAAAAAAGTACTTTTTCTTTCAAATGAGTGATACATTCAGACGATACTTCTTCCCCGTGTGTGATCTTTGATCACAGGATTCTAAAAATGTATGTTTTTGCCTTTTTAATTTTTTTAATTTGTGTATTTGTTTGATGATTATTTTAAACATTACCCTGTATTTGACAAAGCTAAACAAAGATATCAATAGAATTCCACCCCTAATATGTCTAATTCATTTAAGACGTCTCTCTATGATGTCTTGAATACTAAACAGCTCTTTGATGTTCCAGTGTTATAACCCTTGCCAAGAGAATAAATGCCATATGAGTTCATGTTGCCACATTACATAGAATCATAATGTGAATTTTAGATGTTGTGAGTGTTGCCCATCAAAAGGCAGATGTTTCAGACTGTTGAAATTGTTTGGTCATTGAGCGTTGAGCCACTCTTGTGTTTTATCTCACTGTTAGATGCATGGACATTTAGTGTTTTTGCACCAGTTTCTTAAAAAGCATGAATTTTAAAGTGCCTCCCTGCACTTTGTGTACATATTGAAGGCAGGGGCGTCGCTAGTGGAGGAACAGCGGGACCGAGTGCATGGGGCCCAGAGCTACTGTGGGGCCCCTCAACGTCCTCTCATCCCCCTCCCCCCA